ACTCGATTTCTGTTTCGGAAAAAAAACTTTTACTCATCCTTGCTCTTTCCAAGATTTAAGATGTGAGAACAAGCTTCTTTCTTTGGAACTTAAACTGAGACAAAACATATTCATTAATTACATGGTTAACAGAAAAGCACTTCCTTATTTTCTTCAGCTTTCCGAAAAGCCTTTGTTGGCCAAAATAGAATGTTTTATAGATCAACTTGGGCCCCTGCACAGAAATGTTGTTTCTAGTTATTTGTGAAATTCTTATAAAAAGCAGTGTACTCTTCCTTGGTAAATTTTTCATCGACATTGGGAGCTGTTTTTGGACCAAATCTCAGTCATTAGAACTCATGCAAGAATAATGCTTCAGGAAATCATTGCCATATAATTGTTCGTCGTTATTTACTAATATTATCCTCCATAGACCATTCCATGATGTGCTTTTTTTCATAGCTATATGCACATAGTACCAAAAGATCCAATCAACCAACTCTTTTCAACATCATATCTTATCCTTAAAAACACTAGGAACATGACTATGATTTGAAAATCTTCTATTTTATTTAAATCCTAATTATGTTACAGAGAAAAGAATGGCTACCACTGCTACCATTTCATCTATAGCTTGTGAATACAAATTATATCCAAACATACAGATTGTGGCAAATATCAGCACCATTCCATCCTCAACCATCGTGTTCACTACCACTTTTGCCACATGGGAAAAGGCCTTCCTTAATTGGCATCTTATCCAAGTGGCGCCTCATTATCTTCTCCAAATCCTATAATAGGCTGTCAGAAGAATCCAAGTGACAATGAAGAAAAATCAGTAAGGCAATACAATCAAGGAGTTATGACAGCCCCTATCCCTATCGACTAAGAAATGTTCCACCCTCTCCCCTTCACCAAACCCCACACCCACCCCGCCCCACAACATATGTCTCCGAATAGGATGCAGATTCTAACAGCAAAATGGACAAGAAATCGAACCCGAACATACGTATAGCATCACTACCGCATCAAGAACGTACTCATGCAGGCCAAGAAGGCATAAAAAACAATGTCACGGAGATGAACACAACGGCTTCACCTGCATCGGACTCCGGGGGCTGGACGATCGCGGCGGGTTCACCGCCGATGTCGCGATTCAGCTCGGCCGACAAGGCCTCCACGTCGGCGCCGGAGTGCATGCTCTCATCCTGCACACAATAGATCATATATTACCCTATCTTCCTTCTTCCTAGGGCAGAGAAAGACTCATACATTCCGATGACAAATTGCGAAGCTCAGCAGGTGATTCCAAGAACCAAAGAAGAGGAAGAGGAAGACGAGGAGGAGGAGGAGGACGAGGAGGAGAAGGCGTACCTCGTCCTCCTCGAGGAGCTTCATGATGGAGGGATCCATGGCGAGGAAATGTTTCGGCCGTCGAGGGCGAGCGCCCGCGAATCAGCGAGTCGAGGCCTCGACGCTTCGTTGGAGGGCGAAACGAAGCAGTCGCCGCTCGGCCTAAATATAACTGAAAGAAACTTCAATCGGGTTGGGATTTAGAATCCGGTTTGGTCTTTTGGGGCTTCATCTCGCGTAAATAGAAGGCTTCCGGGTTCATCTTTTGCTACTTATATTGTGGAATCCGACTAATTCGCTGCCCTATAAATATATCAAGTAACGATCGGATCTGGGTCGGTTACGTTTGAATCCGGATCGGATTACAAAAATTGGGATCTTGTTTTGATGAGTATTAAAATTATAGAAGAAGAATAAAATGATGATGATGATGATGATGTGATTGATGGGGATGCCAAGTATGCGAGCCATTAGTTCTCTTTAATTCATGAAATAATTCTCCTCGTACCAAACAAGATTTATGATTATTATATTATTTTTTAAATAATTAATTAGAACCTCTTAATATAAAAATTTTGTTACGTTGTTATAAAGACTTCTATCGCCGAGGGTTAGACCGGAAGGCTTTTGTCCCTATATTGAATGAATCATGTGGAATGTGGAGTTCAGGGCATGCTGAGACGCCATGACATATCTTATCTATGTATTCATATATCAAAACATGACAGATGCTATTCCTCCTCATCGTTTTTGCTCCAATTTTGAATCCATTTTAAGTTTATAAATATCTCACTCATCCCTACTTAATTGAGAGAAGAACTTGAATGCAAACTTTGTGATCTAAGTAAAAAAATGCTATTTGTAATTCTTTAAGAGTTCTCCTCCTTTTATTCTAAGTTTAGATTTTTATTTAAGGGAAGGATGAGTGACTCGTAAAGGTTTTCTCCTAAGCTTATGAAAAAAAGAAAGAATTATAGGAGAGTAATTGATCTTCGCCCAAGATCGATAATGAAAACCGATGGCCTCGACGGAGAAGGAATCAAGAGTAGACGTAGGTCATGACGATCGAACCACTATAAATCTGGTATACTCTTTTCCTTTGCTATTTACATTTATTGCTTACCGATTTTATTGCCCACTCCACTTTATACTTACTTTAAGTCAAGCTCACTCCATATCGATTTTCATCGAACAAAATTTTTTTAAATCGTCAAAATTTTTTCGATAGCACTAATTAACCCTCTCCCTCTTAGTGTTGTTTTCGATTCTAACATGCACAAGTAAGCACTTTCATTCTATCCACTTGCTCCTATCATAATAAGAAAGGTAACGAGTGATACCACTATGATGAGAAGGGGATAGTGATGATGAAATATGAAGGATATTTTTATCAAATTTATGAAAAATATATATTTTAAGATAAAAATCAATTAGATGAGTCCTATTTGTTAAAAGCCCAATATTTAAAGTTAAGCTATAATGGCCAATTTTATTTAGGTTCAACTTGAGTTTTTAAATTGATTGGTTTGATTTAGTTTAAAAATTCGAAAACCAAGTGTATATTTTATTTTGATTTAGATTATAGTAACAAATCTCAAATTGAAATGACCAGATGTTTGTTATATAATAATTAGATACGAAACAATGCAAAAGCAGATATTTTATATTCATAAATGTAGTAAACAACGTTAATTCAGTTTTAATAAGTATATATAAGAATGTAAATAATAATAAATGTAATAATATATCAAACATACCGATAATATAGAAATTTTAGAAACTTAATACGAAAAATTGGTGGCAACCCAAATCGGCGTCTGTTTGCATCCCTAACAAGCATAATGCGGATTGGATACTTTATATTTCTACCACATACTTAGTCCACCGGGATTCATGTAAGACCGAGGTTTTGTGGGGCCCATCATTGAACCAATAAACTACTCTGTCGTTGTGTATTGCGTCTGACGGAGTTCAGTGGGTTGCGGCAACGTTATTTTTGGGAGTAGAAATGCTTCACCTCCCGAGTTCCGTAGTCACCCACCCGCGTGGCTCACCTGCCCCACGATTGGCAGTGACCATCATGAGCCCAGATAGGGGACCCCCCATCACGAGGTAAGTAGAATGCGAGAGCGTGACACGTGCTATCTTCGTATCCACAAACAGATACAGTTGTTGACACGTGTTAACTTAATTCTTATTTTAAGTCGGTGCTGCGAGCAGAAGTCCTCTGTATCCTAAATATAAGAAGTCACGCCGTCTTCTTTTCAACGCACCCTTTCCATCGTCAAGTGTTGTCGAAAGAAACCCACAGGGCGCGTGGAATACCCTACGATGGCGTATATTTATCACTCGCCTGCTTCCCGTTCCCTACTTTCAAACGGGACCGAACACAGCGGCCGCCCCCAACTCGCAGTTATGAACGGAGTCTTCCTAAGAAGTGGCGGCCGAGGAGCCCACGGCCTCCTCCTCGGCCACCTTAGATCTCCCCGCGTCTGCGTCGAGCACTCCAAGCTTTCATCAACGCGGTCCAGAGCCTACGTCCGCTCCCACATCCTCTTTTCCAAGTTCAAGGAGTCCTCATCCGGGTTCTCACACGGCTCGCCTTCCCTGTACTCCCTTTCCTTGTCAACTGCAACTGGCGCGGCATCATTTTCTTGGATCCGGAATGGGTTCATAAGTTGGTATATCGGCATGATCGAAGCCCGCCCTGTCCTCACCAAGAGCCTCACCGCGGGGGTTGTCTTCACCGCCGCGGACATCTCCTCCCAGGTCTGAACATGAACTTTTATCTCCTTATAAGTCTTCTTAAAAATCCTTTCTTGCTGCATTCGTCTGCCTAAAGTTTGTCGCTTGGGAAGTTTGATCGTCTCCCAAACTAGCGGGGTGTGCCAAAATTCAAGGTCTTTGGTTCATTTAGCTAAATTGTAATTATAGGGAAAGGAACGGTATACTGGATTTTGTTTGATGTTTAATTTGGCCTTGCGAGGGTGGTGGATTTAGTAAGACTACTTTGTTCTTGTTTCTAGGGATTCCGTGAATTACCGAGTATGTGACATTTTTATCTTGTTAGTAATTTGCATATCAATTGTTTGTGTGAATTGGTTCATATGGAGTCTGTAACCGCTTTTGAGTTATCAAATGCATTGTTGATTATATGCAGACTCATTTCACCCCTTGTTTTTCTTTAGTCACTTGGCATCCTCAAAGTTTATCAGAAGAATCAACTACAAAATGACTTAGATGAGTCAAGTCTAAAGTCTCATGTGGTTTGTTCTAAGTGATGCCTTGCACTTTATTTAAAGGTTTGAATGATTTAGCAAATCGATTATGAAAAGGCTCTTACTAGTGTCACTCTAAGCATAAACATTAACATAATGTCCATCATTAGAACCTTAATTCCTTTTAATTAACAATCATAAAATTTTATATTTTTTTAGATATTCTCAAGTTCTTTTTGTACAGCATCTTCTAAAGAACTGTAAGCTTCATTGTTTTGAAGTCATCATTTATTGATATAACATTAATGATCCTTAGTTTTCTTCATTCTTAACAGATTATTACACTTGCATCCTCCGGGGGTCTTGATTTCATAAGAACTCTGCGAATGGCGGGTTATGGGTTGCTTGTTTCAGGACCCTCTTTGCATTTCTGGTTCAATTTTGTTTCCAGAATTCTACCAAAACGAGATGTTTTTACGACTTTTAAAAAGATGGTTCTTGGGCAAGTTACATATGGGCCTATAATAACTGGTGTTTTTTTCTCAATGAATGCCGGATTACAAGGTAGGAACCTTTTTTTGGCTTGCATTAATAACTGCATTGTGTTGCATGCCATATAAGATTATTTATTCTAATTTATTATCATGTTCTCTATTCGATCATTGATAGATTAATGTAAATCGATATTATCCAGACATCATATGGATGCCTTGAGTTTTGTTATGGAGTTAAGAAGCAGATAATCATGTTTAATGCATTAAAAATATTTTTTTTTTGACAAGCCACATGAGTTTCTTTATTTTGTTTAGTTATAGAACTTTTGTTTTAATGGTGATTACTGTTTTGGTTTATAAAGTCAGAGAAACCTGAGATCATGATTATTATTTTCATTGAATGTTCTCGACAACAATGTCTCAAGGCAAAAGCGGAAGGATAACCTAGTGCATGAATATAATTTTGCGGCTCAAATCCTTCACTTAGGCTGCAAAAGAGCAATATTGCCATTATATGAAGGCTCACCCTCAATTATGTGTCAAAACTATCTTGAATTGAATTTACTTTTCTGTTGATATGATGCAAATCGTGAGCAGTTTTGTGACTATTACTTTTGAGTTGGGTACATTTAACAATTAATTTCTAGTGTTCATCATGGCAAGGCATTTGTTCTTATTTCCTAGCAACATAAGTTGAGAATCAATTAATTCTAAGTTCAATTTTCTTTTTTGTGATTCTGTACGATTTTTTTCTCTTGGCTTTGGTCTTGTCGACATTTTGATTTTCAAAACCAAGTTTATCATCAACTTGATGGAGTACAGCCAGCACTAAGACATCTCATCTTCTCTTACCTCTTATGCACCATAGATTAAGATGTCTCTTTCCTTCTTGCTTCCTCTCGTCTCACTCTGCCTTCTGACATGAGCCATTGGAAAAGATAGGATAGTTAGATTCAAGAATGATCAAGTTCTAGTTCTGCTTGGCCAATCCTTTGTTTTAATTGGATCAGTCAAGAATCAGTTTGATAAGGCCTGCTCCAATCTGATTCAATAACAACTTCACCGTGGTGTTTTGTTCTTTTTGGAATCTCAAACCAGGCAACCATTTGAGCAAATATGTATGTGATTGGTGGCCACTAACCATTCGTAACTAGGTAGCTTGGTGTCCTCCATTCTGTACTCACCGAACTATTTAGAGTGCCTTATGCTCCATGAACTAATTAAGCACCTGGATTTAATCTAGACTATCACCTAGGCACCAAAGCCATCATTCTTTTAATATGTAATGGTATATCACGTTACATTGTTTGGAGTTAATATCATTCATGGAAAAGTAACATTGTTACGAGTGTATATGTTAAACAAAATGTGTGCATCTGCAATGTTTAGATGTCAACATTGTTTGACATCTTAATATTCTTTTATGAAGTTGTATAAATTGATTAATAAAATTTATGATCATTATCTTATAGAAGGCTGTTCATTATTTTACAGAGAGGTCACTGCCTAGGACCATCTAGGATACTGACAAGCTTGCTTGTATTTAATTGCCTGTGCTTCCATCAACTATGCATGTTGGTTGGCCTCTGTCTTCTCTGTTGGTATGTTTGGTCCATATAGGGATAATTATACACCTGAATGAAATCCGTTGATATCATGTCTTGTATTCGACAAACCTGGATGATGCAAATGGGTCTTTTTTTTTTCGTTTGCATCTTGTATTTGGGGTTTCTCAAAGAGGCGAATAATGGTCCACTATGTATCATAGTGAAGTTCTTCTTTATCCTTGCCCATGGACAGAGTGACTATTTGCAAAATTGGGATGCCATTTGGTACTGTGTGATTGTCTTTCTTCTTCTCGTTCCTCTGTGTTGTGTTCCCTGTTTTGGCCCTTTATTACAACATTAGTAGATGGTGGATATGCACTTTGTATGTTTTAATTGGTTAAAGGCAATATTTTCTGTTTGAATAATATTTCCTGTTTTTGTCAACCATAGGTGAAACTGGTGCTGAAATCTCTGCCAGGTTAAAAAGAGATTTGATTCCTACTCTATTAAGTGGAATTATGTACTGGCCTATATGCGACTTCATTACATTTAAATTTGTCCCTGTCCGTCTTCAGGTAACGTCTTCAGGTAACACGGAAACCTGTATTGTCATTTAATCTCTTAATCTTTGAGCACCTCCTTGGCTGATATAACCATCTTGTTTTCCTTCCAGCCCTTGGTCAGCAATTCATTCTCATTTCTCTGGACCATCTATATCACATACATGGCAAGCTTGGAGAAGGCAGTTGTGGAAAAGACGGCGACGGACTAAATCCTCTTGGTAGCTCTAGCTCAATGTTGTGACTTGGATCTTTCCAAATTTTGAACCGCACAGAAATAATATGGTCGAAAGTGTTACCTAACTTCTTAATTTTTCATATGATGTATTCTGAAAGAACAAGTGCAATTCATAGGTTTCCATCATTGAAGTGCCTCGTTCATCCTTGTTAAACTTCATGGGAAAAACTATCAAGCATTATAGAAAAACCTGTTCTTATTTTACACAGAGAAAAACATTTTGATTGACCTCTGATAGAGAGGAGAACTCTTGTTTGAACATTTCTGATTAATAAGACTTCTGGTTTCTGGGAAAAGAGTGTGCTGATCTTTATATTAAATCAGTAAGTTTTCCAGCATGCAACACAGTCTATATCTTTGGGTTGTTTCTGATTCTAATGGGTTGTGGTTGACTTTGGACGGTGGTTTTGACTTTCCAAGCAGGTAATAGGATTCCTTCCCACTGCAAATATACAATCCCAGCCGACAGTCGGTTTCTGTATTGCCAATTCCATCTGTGGTTGTTCTAAGTGGCTGTAACTTTCTTTGTTGGAAGCAAACTAAGCAGTCAAATACAATGGAAAGCAGTGATTCTATGAACCATTACAATCCAAAAGACACCAGCATGTCACGTTTGGAACAGGGAAAGAGCCAATGAGGCTGCTTCATTCCATCCTTCCTCATCTGTTCCTCCATGTCGAACCTACTCTTTCCATCACGACCGAACCTTGTGGATTCATCCGCCAGCTGATGCAGCACCCACTCGTTGCGGTTTCGTTTCATGTGCATGTTCCCGTACTCGTTCGAGGATGAGGAAAAGCTGGACGCTGAATCCGAAGTCAATGATGCGTCCTTCTTCTTCCGTCGAGCTCCGCCGCTTCCGGTGGCGAGCGTCAGCTCCAAGTCGCTCTCTTCGTCGGCGTCGAGCACGACCCCTGCCGGGAGTTCCAGGTCAAGCGTCCGACGAGGCCCTGTCTCATCCTCTGCATCAAGTAGCTCGGTATCTGCTCGTGTGCGCCCCTTTTGCCTTTTCATTTCGGCAATCTTCATGTCTCCCATCAACTGCTGCTGAATTCGGTACAGACGATGGAGTTCATGGACCTGAATCAAGCGTGGAAGTAACACTCGGTGCCTCCTGAAACTTCCTCACGGGAGATCAAAGGAAAGAAGGAGGGAGGGAGATACCTGATATCTAAAGATTTCTTCCTGCTTCAACATCGCAATCTTCACGTACTCCTTGTCGGTCTGTTGCATGTATCTCGGCATTGATCTTCTGAAATGTTAGAATCGTTAGACTCTCAAACAACAGTTTGCTGCTGATCTGTGAAAATGATAAGCAGCAACGATTGACCGATGCTTTCTTTACAGAAGCAAGAAAGGAAAAGAGGCGATGAGCCGATGACATGCAATTCTGCCACAAGGAGAATTCCGAAAGAAGAACTCATTAACGGTGAAAGGATCAAGAAACAAGGGAAGGATGAATCCTTACTTGAGTTGCTCTATCAGATTCCGCTATTGGCGACCTCAGGTTAAGAGCTTCCTTGGAGAAAGCGGCAAGCTTCACATACCCAATGGGTGCAGGATTTAAGGCTCTCTACACAGACTCTCACCAGCATAGTTTAGTGGGCTCTCGACGCATGCCAAACAAATCCCAGTCCTTTGGCTTAGTGCAGCAGTTCGAGTCTTTCTGAAGCGAGAAAAGGACGGTACAGACAGTGCCAAGAAACGCCATAATCAAATAAGAAGGCCCACTTGTTCATCTCCATTCAAATATTATGAGGCACACAACACTGCTCCCAAAGAATCAACCAGACAGCTAAACCTGCCATGGCAGATCACATGTATCCTAAAGTTTTATGATCACTAACAGTTGTCTCAACATGTATATTATTGTCCTATGTATACACCTTCATTCGTACTTATCACCTTCTTCAGATCGGAGATCTGAAGTGCCTTTGTATATGTACTCAATGACATGATGCTTTGGGAGGAGCCATTGATCTGCCGTTATTTTGGGGGTGATTTTACTTGTAAGAATCACTTGGAAGGACTAATGGATAAGAGATAGGGAGGCGTGTATTATTGGCACAATGATTCCAAAGGTTGCCTCCATTTCTTTGGGGCGGAAGGAAAGGGCTGGCTTTGTCCTTGCAGTGCCGACAAGGCCTCTCCTTGGAGGAGCGGATTGACTCCAAGCACAGGAGAGGAACCAAGGAGCATAAAATAACAAGGAAGGAAGGAAGAAGGGAGAGAGAGCAGATGGAGATGGAGATGAGTTGCTTCCATCAGGAAGTGATCACATGTGGGGGTCATACGGATAACCCTTCTTTCCTTTATTCCCTCTTCCTTGTACTGTATGTTCTCTTGTTTCTTCCTCTCTTTCAGCCGCTCAAGCAAGCTCCAATTTGTCTTGTTCTCCGGCTACAGAACGCCAAGGGCCGACATTGGGGCACGCGTTGCCGGTGAGGGGAGGCACAGCCGGGTGTGGCGTTTGTGCCCAACCTTGGCGTTGTTCTGAGACGAACAGTAGATGTGGAGAAAGGTAGAGATCGTAGATGGGCCCGTCACAATAAAGGCGAAATGAAGCTCTCACCTTCAACCTCACTGATGAAGCTGGGGACTTCATTGTGTCTCTTGCTGTGATGATGGGAACGGCCTCGATAGCTATCTTGACCTAGTCAAGGTATGGGAGGAAGAAGAAGAAGAAGAGTGACTGACGGAACAAAACTAATAAAGGAAGCCTGCTTTATGAACTCAGAAACCAAGGTGTCAAGTAAACCTATACATTAATATGTGGGTCATTTTGATTCACTTGTTCATTTTTTTTTCTGAGAGGATCTTGATCTAGCTAAATAAAGATTGCTAGAACAATTCAAAACCTAGTTGAAACATGATGAGCCATGGCTACGAACTGTAGCCAATCTATATCTCTAGATTTTGCGGACATGAGTTGCAATCATTGTTTGGATTCTATTCAGATTTCACAGACATGCTTCTTAGATTCCTTGTCTTGGAGTGGGCAACGATCTTTCAGGTCTCGAAGGAACAGTTGACAGGAGCTTAATTTTATGGTGCACTATTCTTCCTTCAACTTGCTAAATTATAATTGCAGGAAACATCCAATCGAATGCAGTGCCAATGAATGGGTGTTGATGCCTATCTGTTTGATCTTGCTCCAGTCACTATGATTGGACCTACAGTGTCAAGAACAGGAAGTGTTCCTTGAGCTGTGAGTCCCACACCCACCTGATACACTTGTGGGTGCACCTGTCCTTGTTCCCCCTCATCCCAAACTGGACAAGAACTTGATGGTGATGGAGTGAATTCACAAGAAGATATAATTGCAGGACCTTTTTTGTTCTGTTTTCTAGTCCAAATCATGTTTCTTTGATCTGAAAAAACCAAAAAATTTCTGCATTTTTATAGAGTCCAAACATTGTTAAGGACCATTCTGCATGATTCATAATGTTAGTAAGAAAGAAGGTAGAGATGTTTGGCATAAAAGAAGCTTCATCAACACTGATATCATGTGCTTCATTGACTTGTGATCCTCTCCATATTAGGGGGAGCCAATCTTCCCTTGAAATTATGATTAGGATAAGCTGTTAAGATTGTTCGAATCTTAGACATTACAGTTTCTTTTTCCCCACATCAAGTTGAACTTGATATAGATCTTATTATTCCATGTCCCTTTAGATAAACACATCCTCTTTTGCCATGTTTTAGTCAATTCTAATGCATAACCAGCAAGCCAACACATTCTCTTTAGTTCTCATATTAATGGCCAGTGTGCTTACTTTGACCCTCAAGTGGAGAAGACTATTGCACATTTAGTATTGACAGTCACATAACATGAGATCAGTCAACATCATTGCTCCATAAATATATCTGCAATATGAACATATGATCATTAACAGGATTCCCCCAAACCCACTAACATAGTCACATTTTGTAGGTCAGAGAGAGAGAGAGAAGGATCATCCAACACCACAGCTAGATAAGGTGGTGTCAATTGGTTTGAGATGTCCATTATGTGGCCTTAAACCTAAACTTCCAATAAACTAATAAATTGGACCATGTCCCTGCCATGAGGAACATACAGCAATAAGTAATCTGATGGATAGTTATTATGCCAATTAAAAGATGTCTTTATGAGACATGCAAGCATGATTACTTGCAACAAGAAATTAGCCCTTATTTTTTTCATGTCAAAGGCACAAAAATTCAGCAGTGAGGACTCATATGGAAAAAAATTAAAGTCTGTCACATCTGCACATATAGAAGATGTATTAGCATGAAATGTGGTAGGATAATGACAACACCAATTCTATCCTATAGATTAGAAAACTAAGCACCATTTGAACTACCTTAATAAATTCCAAACTACATGGTTTACAACTCATCCGGAGGCATTAAACACTAATCCCACATACCAAACACCACATGCTTCATTCCAAGTATTAGATGTGGACACAAACAACATTTCTTAGTCCATCACCTCACCTCAAAAGTGTCACATTGGTATTATTTCTTAGATCTCTTTCTAATGTTTAATTGGTAGGTCTATGTTCTTGGGGGGAATGAATGATGAGAGCTAAGAGATAAGGGTGGTGTTAGTATTTTATATCAAGACATACATCAAGATATATGGTGAGGAATCATCTTTAATTTGCACTGTGGGAACACATGGTATACAGTCCCACATAAGCACCAAAACATTGAGCTTCCTTGGAGTGGTTAATGCAAGCCACATCTTGCATTACCATTAAATAGTGTCACACTATTGGGAATAGCATTTTATACATTAAGTTATGTGAAGTTAAAAGCTAGAATGTTTGTTGTACTTACATGAATGGTTTTGAGAATTGATGCACAAGTCAAGCAATTTGGGTTCACCATCTCTTTTATGGTTCATGAATTCTCAAAATTACATCCCTTGTTCAAAATTTTGGATGAATGATTTATTTTCTTACATCAAGTATTTTATGTTGATAAAAAAAAAGGTTCTGAAGTCATAACTTATTAATTGTACTCATCCATTTCGTTTAGATTCATCTCACCTATCACATCTCATATTTTGATAGACATGATCGAGTAAAACAGCTTGAAATGGAAGATTATGTGAGTCCAATTCTCAATAAGTATTAGAGGATTCTAACCCAAACATTTATCCCTATCCTTATGTGATCCCCAAGGAAGAGGAGATTAAAAGGGTAAAATGATTCATTTGAACAGTAACTTAATTTGGATGCTAAATGATTCATTTAAACATTAACTTCGTTTGGATGCTCTCTCTCTCTCTCTCTCCTTGTTGAACACTTGTCTTGGAGTTTGTGCTATTAAAAATTAGTGAGTAGTGAGAGGGGAAATAAACAAGTAATGACATGAGTTCTTTCTCATCTTTGGTTGTCATTATTCTCTCCTTAGGATAATATGATTGAGGAGGCCAAGACTTTGGATGAGGTCTTATATTATTATTGGTGCTTAAGAGCTTCTTTCATCTTATAATTATGTAGGAATAGATCGTAATATCTCCTAAATCCTAAAAATTAAATTTATTCTTCAAAGATTAGAAGATTAAGAAATCAGATCTTTATTAACTTTTTTTCTTGACCGATCATCATAATTTGAATTCTTATAAGAAATAATGATCACAAATATTATTATCTTTAATACTAACGCTAGTTATGTTTGAATTAGACCTAACGAGGTTAAATCGATGATTATATATTTATCTTTTAGATTATAATAACTCTCCCACACTCTATTTGTTAATCATAATTAATTATTTTTATTATAAAAATAAATATTAATCTTTCATAATAATCAAGTTCGAGTACTTTTACACTTTGATAATAAATCCGATTTAGATATGAGTAAATAATGGATATGATGAAAGTGTCAGAGCTGGTATAAGACTTTTGTGACCAAACAATACCATCAACCTTATCAGGATAATTATATATATATATATATATATATATATTTGTGATTCCAAATCATAATGGATTTGGTGGGAATAGCAACATACCACACATTGGGCTGCTCCTTATGGATGAGGCCCAATTTATTTGGACATGGATTGGATTGCCATCATGCCACAAATGTTCCCTCAATATTGGGATTAAAGTTGACATGTAGAGAGCATAATTGGGTCGAATATTCAATTGGACGTAATATGTCATATGAGTTTTGTCCAACATAATCTCGATCTAATTTTGTAAAAGAATGAATCGAAACAAAATACGTATAACTTTTATCATCAAAAGAAATTGAGTCGTGACTTGGAACCACATATCATAAAACAAATTTCTTCTCCTCTTTCAAATGTCATAACACTTCAAAAAAAAAGATTGATCAGATCAAAATTAATGTGAGGTTGGGACCAAAATTGAATTGACATGATAAGGAAAGAAAGAAAGAAAACGTTTCTTCTTTGTTTTTCATTGGCAGTCGAATGAATAGAATCGACCATCTCGAATGACCAAATGCTATATGATATTAGGCTGGCCTTAGAGATGCGTATTCCGATAGGGTTAAGAATGATTAGAAGCAGATATATGTCACTAAGAAAAAAAGAAAAAGAAAACGCATGCAGTCTACTCAATCCATTTGAGTTAGATTACGATACACATTAATTAATCGGTATTAG